TGCCCATTCAAGCCGTCTCCAACCATTATTAGTCTCAAAGTGGGTTCCTCATCATCGAATTTAAACAAGCTTATAATTATTTCTGATTTCGTAGTTGAAGTTCACTGTGTAACCATTTTTAGCGTATAACCATGAAGCTGTTAGCTGAATTTTTCATTTTTGCTAAACCTTGTAATACTTTGTGTTTTCTAGCAAGCCATAATTGAATTCAGTTTTAATAATTTTGTACCTCAGAATGACGTCGGAGAGCTTCAAACAATTATCCGTCAGTCATCCAAGGAAAGACTGGAGTTAGAGCGCCATCTATCGAGAGCTATTGAGGTTAGTTATATTTAGTTTATATGGTGTTTTTCAGTAAAAAAAAATATAACTATTGGAGTTACGCTCTATTTATTAATAAAGTATTGGTAATATGTTTATTTTCTTGTTTATGTGACAGAAACTATAAATACATACATGCGCGTGGAAAGAAGAAATTATGTTGTTTTTCTGCCCCTCATAAAAACCACTTCTAACGAACAACCCCTGATGACGCAGTGCACTGAACCTTTCAAGTTGTGAAACTCGTGTGCTCGTCTGTCCCGAGCTATCTTGCCATCAACATTTAATTAAAGGACGACATTTAAACTAAGTTTCATTTACTATTCTGTAAAATCATACATTAAGTATGCCCCCGCTTAAATGAGGGGGCCCGAAGGGCCTGACAAACTTAAGAATTGCCAACAAGGGGAGAGCTTACAAAATTCAGGCTGACCCAAACTAGTATTAACTTCGCGAAAGGAAAACACAACTACCAACCGAAAATTATTACTTAATAATGTTACACTATTCACCACTATCGAACTAGTTGCCTACTTGTATATATATTTGTAGCCTTGTTTCTAGACATTTTGCAAAGTCACTCGATCACTATATTTCCGAACTTTCTAGGTATTCTAGGACTTAACATCATTCGCCCTCTAGATAACATTTAGCTCAAATTAAAATTGAAAATACAGCCTATAACAATATCCTAGTCTATGTACCATTGTTTACATGCCCCTCCCACAGTGGCACAGCGGTATGTCTGCGGACTTACAACGCTAGAAACCGGGTTTCGATACCCTTGATGGGCAGATCACAGATAGCCCACTGTGTAGCTTTGTGCTTAATTACAAACAAACAAAATTGCTCCCCAGTGGCACAGCGGTATGTCTGCGAACTTACAACGCTAGAAACCGGGTTTCGATACCCGTGATGGGCAGATAACAGATAGCCCATTGTGTAGCTTTGCCCTTAACTACAAACAAGCAAAACTATTTACATTAATTGTTAATAGGCGATTGAAATCAGAACTATAAAACAATAATGAACTTAATATAAAATTAGTATTAAAAAGATTTTAGTTAAGAAGCCACTGACAATCCTAGTAGAAAATGTAGAGGGAGTATTTTACTCCAGAGGAGAGTGTCCCTCAAGGAGGGGTAGTTAGTCTTATCTTGTACATTACAATTTGCTGATGACTTGGTTATCTGGAAGGGTGCAAATACCCCCTTATTAGCAGCGAATAATTTACAACCGGTTTTAAATCAAATTGTTGAATAGTGCCGAAAATACAAAACTAAAATTAACAATCCCAAAATTATTTTCAAAACCTTTAAAATTACGCAACCTCCCTCCCTCCCGAAGATATATCTGAACGGGGCTCTTCTAGAGACCAGTAGGTGGTTAGGGCGCTCGACTCCTAATCTGCGGGTCGCGGGTTCGAATCCCCGTCCCACCAAACATGCTCGCCCTTTCAGCCGTGGGGGCGTTATAATGTGACGGTCAATCCCACTATTCGTTGGTAAAAGAGTAGCACAAGAGTTGGCGGTGGGTGGTGATGACTAGCTACCTTCCCTCTAGTCTTACGCTGCTAAATTAGGGACGGCTAGCGCAGATAGCCCTCGTGTAGCTTTGCCCGAAATTCAAAACAAATAGAAACCAGTCAATCGGCATAATTTTCAGGCCTAACGTACGATTCCCAATTAAATTGGAGAAAACACATATAGGAAATTACACAAAGTGTGGCAACGAGCAAACTATTTGAAAAGACTCGCAGGTAAAAAATACAGGTGCATCTCCAGATAACATTATTAAAACTTATGAAGAATACATAAAACTCGTAATTGAATATGCATGTCCGGTGTGGTTAAATATAGCGAAAACAAACCTCAAGAGACTACAAACAATACAAAATCCCATAATAACGTCAGTCTACAGAGTCCCCCAGAAACCACAAAACTGACATTTTTTTTTTACACAAATATGCTAACACAATAATGAATAGACTGATAAATTGCTCGTTCCGCTATTACTATTGTGTAATAATGATTTGTTAACAGAAATAGATCGCTATATCATACATGATGTAGATAGGGCTAAGTGCCTCTCACCATTAAACTACTGTATTCAATTTAAAGACCACCCACATTAGGCCAACATTGTCGCGATATTTTAAAGGGTATTTATGTGTAAATAACGCGGTGGTGTGTATCTCGCGCGAATAAGTGTGTGTGGTGACATCTGACGACTAAATGAAGCGATATGAACTGTTTGTTAGTACTACTGATCGAATGAAGCGACCATGTTATCTACCCACAAAATGCTACCAGCATGATATTAAAAAGACGAGGCCTTGAAAAGGCTCTATCAACTAATAGTAGCAGCGGGATTTGGAAATAGTTATAATTAGTTCAGGAGGGAAGGGAAATGTCGAGAGCGTACCTAATCCTCCCACGTCCACAATCGAACCCCCCCCCTAAAAAAAAAGAAACCCGGTACCAATTGACCTGCTCTAGTCACATGACTAGAGATGCTCGAATACCGGTACCCGTACCGGTAACCTGGTACCACCGATACTATTGCAAACCCTGATCGTGGCACAGTATGGATTTTCACACCACAGCAGGTGGGTGTAAATGAGTAAGCTTCAAAACTGTCCATCAAAATACGGTTTCTCAAGGAATAACCTGCATGCACACGAGTCGAAATGATGTTTTAATTCGTGTTGACCCCTGGCGGTGATAAAGTGTACTTCACGAGGCCAACTGAGAAATAGTGTATAGAACGCAACTGATATCAAATTAGTCCAAACTTAGTCATATCGAAGACCATTATTAGGTAATATTAAGTTATTTGTTCATACAGATAGTATTCGGCTGAACTAAAAATAGTCGTATCGAAGCTCATGATTAGGTAATATTGATTTATTGTGTTCTCCCTTCGTACCTACATACTATACATTTTTCATGATACATTCTTAATGTGTATAATATGTAATAGATAAATGTATAAATTATTTTACATTTTTGTTTTCTGCCCACAGTAGCTTAGCGGAAAAGTTGAGTATTTATAACGTTAAAATTCAGGAATTAATGCTTGCGGTTGCCATAGCTTTGGGCTTAAAAAGCAAACCAATCTTTTTACACACGAATTCAATTTTAGATTCCTTTGTAATTGGGCTTAATTAATTCTAAACTTCTGATATTTTAGCTTCAAGAATATTTACACGCTTGGAGAAACCTGTCTATATTTACGTATTTATTTCGAACAATTGTGGCTAGGCTTAGCTAGCCTTTCCTGTCCGTGAACCTTCGACCCGCAGCTTCAAAATTTCACGCCAATTTTTTTATTTTCTTTGGTGCACTATAAGAGTGACAGTCACGTGTCACTGTTCGATCGAACAAAAGAAGCCCAAGAGTTGGCGGTGGGTGTTGTTAACCAGCTGCCTTCTTCTCTAGCCTAGTACAGAAATAATAAATTGTGACGTGTAGCAGTATTTTTGGGTAAAAGTCGGTAAGCATGTTTTCTAAATAAATTTGGATGTGCTGGATCGAGATATCTGGGTTATAAAATTGAAATGTTTTCAAAAAAAGGCTCGAAATGAAGAAGCAAAATATTATGGTAATTTTTTTTTTTCGCAGTTCTAGGAATTTGGTTAATGTTTATATATATGTGCATGTCTTTTTATCATGTACATGGAAACTAAGCGTTTGGTTCTAACTTGTGGCATTTTTTAAGTATTTGGAACACCAATTTGCATTTTTTTGAACGAATTGTTACGCCTCCAGTCGTTAGTTGATTTTCAGTAAATTCGTTCCGACGAAACTTTAGCGACACAAGTCCTTACTTAATAAAACTGGTTTATTCTTTCCGAATACAACTTTACAATACACTTATTTTCAACAGTCGCGCTATAACAACGAACGTTAACTTAAACAATACTGTCTGACTGCAGTTCAATTACTCACTACCTAAACACATTGTCACGTCACGCCGTGACCATCTTACATATACCAGGCCACCCCCAATCTAGCAAATGCTAGAGCACTCCCGAAGGAACAGGATAGTTCTAGAAAATAGGTGGCGTGACACCAGTCACGTGACCTCGCTGACGCAACAGAATGTTTAAACCTTCGATAGTACTAATTTTCGTAATGTACCGATAACTACTACTTTATATTATATTAAAACTATTCTACTCCACAGGTAATACATATAAATTAAATGAGCCAGACACATGTAGTTTCAAAATACGTTATCTAGAGCGGCGATATATTGTTGTTGTTTACAAAATTTACGTTGTTCACATACACATATTTGATGTTATGTGTGCTACTCCTATATCTACGTTTAGAAAGCTCGTGTTACAATAACATCCCATTGCAGCCGTTGAAATGAAATGCCGCTGAATTAAACACAACAAATCTTTATTTACCAGTCAACATTCCGAGCACGTTAACAGTTGTAATGATTTTAACACGAAGATGATATTAAACTGAATAAACAGCAAATAAGAGCAGAGTAACAGTAACAATTCCATTAGAAAATAAATATACGTACCGTTAACTACAAGTTACAACAGTTTGTTTGTTTTGAATTCTCAGTTATGATACTGTTCATTTTATGAATATACGCAATATTATTAATAATCTTAGTTTGTTTGTTTGTTTGTTTTGAATTTCGCGCAAAGCTACACGAGGGCTATCTGCGCTAGTCGTCCCTAATTTAGCAGTGTAAGACCAGAGGGAAGGCAGCTAGTTATCACCACACTCCGCAAACTCTTGGGTTACTCTTTTACCAACGAATAGTGGGATTGACCGTCACATTATAACGCCCCCCCCCCGGGCTGAAAGGGCAAGCATGTTTGGTGGGACTGGGATTCGAACCCGCAGATTGCGAGTCGAGTTCCCTAACCACCTGGCCACGCTGAGCCAAGTTACAACATCAATCAAACATGCGCAGTGGATAAAGGCGTC